CAGAAAGGCCAGGGACACCACATTGCAGCTCTGGGAGGTGCCAGGGGCTCTGGGGCCCCAGAGAAGTCCGAGATGCAGCCTGGAAGGCAGGAGACTGCCCAGGGAAAGATGTACATGACCACAACATAACATGATCAAATGAGGCCCCGGGCTCTGAAGGGAAGCTCATTACTATGAAGTGCCTACACCCAGGGACACTGTCCTTCAGAGGCCTGGAGGCGACTGGGCAGTAGAGTGAATTTCTAACCTTGAAACTGTATAGCTGGGAGGTAGAAAGGGCACGCCCATTATATAGAGGAACAAACTGAGTCTCAGAGGTGAATTTGCTCACTCCCCTAGACCAGTGGTTCTCAGCCTTCCTAATGCCGATCCTCATGTTGTGGTGGCCCCCCATTTCATTGTTACAAATTGAACATAATTAAAGCATAGTGATTAATCACAGAAACAATATGTAATTATATATGCGTTTTCTGATGGTCTTAGGCGACCCTGTGAAAGGGTCATTAGATCCCCAAAGGGGTCGCGACCCACAGGTTGAGAACCGCTGCCCTAGACCAAAGGCTGCCTTGGACATAGGAAATCAGGCTTAAATCCACATCTGCAGCACTTAGAGCATGAGAGAGTTTTAAAATTATACAGTGGTTGGCCTGGCCGGCGTGGCTCAGTTGTTGAGCATTGACCTATGAACCAGGAGGTCATGGTTCGGTTCCCCGGTCAGGGCACATGCCCGGGTTGCGGGCTTGATCCTCAGTGTGGTGTGTGCAGGAGGCCGAAGATCAATGATTCTCTCTCATCATTGATATTTCTATCTCTGTCTCACGCTCCCTTCTTCTCTGAAATCAATAAAAATATTTTTTAAAAATTATACAGTGGTAGGATATTTATTGCTAGGGTAACATAGAAACAGTTACTAAAACGTTATATGTTGTATGATCCAAATATATATGTATTTTAAAGACTGACACAAGTAGACTACAAAATGTTAATAGTTGTTTTAAGTTGTAGATTGCAAATGTTTTTATAAAAGACCTTTGTATGTACACGGGAAAACAGACAGAATAGGGTAATGAGCCTTCATTAGCCCACTAATCAACCCATGCCTGACATGCCCCATCCACACCCCCGTGATGTATTTCATGGCAGTAAGTCCTACACATCAACCATTTCTTCTCTAAATATTGCCCTGTAGGCCCTGGCCAGTGTTGCTCAGTTGATTGGAGCGTCGTCCTATACACCAAAGTTTGCAGATTCAATTCCCCATCAGGACACATACCTAGGTTTCGGGTTCGATCTCCAGTTGGGGCGCATACTGGAGGCAACTGATTGTTTCTCTCTCACTGCGATGTCTCTCTCCCTCTCACTCGCTCTCTCAAATCAATAAGCATGTCCTCAAATCAATATACATAGCCCTGGCCAGTTTGGCTCAATGGTTGAAGCGTCAGCCCACGGATCGAAGGGTCTCAGGTTCAATTCCGGTAAAGGGCATGTACCTCGGTTGGTTGCAGGCTTGTCGGGTTGCATGCAGGAGGCAGCCAATCACTGTGTCTCTCTCACATTAATGTCTCTTCCCCTCCCTTCCACTCTCTCTAAAAATCAATGGAAAAAATATCCTTGGGTGAGGATTAACAAAAAAAAATAACAAAAAAAAAACATAACCACAATACCATTACAACTAAAAGATGTATAATTACTCCTAATATTACCAAATGTCTAGTCAGTGGTCAAATTTCCAATAGTCTCATAAATGGCATCGGTGTTTCATTTTACAGTTTAAAAAAATCAGGATAAAAATAAGGACTGCACTATTCAATTAGCTGATGTGTGTATTAGGTCTCTTTTATCCATAGTTTCCCCTCCGTCTCTTTTTATTTTCTTTGCAAACACATGATTTATCCTCTCTCATTCCACAGTTTGGATCTTGCTGATTGCATCCCTGAGATATAATTTAACAAGCTTCTCTGTCCTTTGTATTTCTTGTAAACGGTTAGCTTAAGCTACAGTCTGATTAGATTTAGATTTTAGTGGGTTTTTTAAAAAATATATATTTTATTGATTTTTTACGGAGAGGAAGGGAGAGGGATAGAGAGCCAGAAACATCGATGAGAGAGAAACATCGATCAGCTGCCTCCTGCACGCCCCCCACTGGGGATGTGCCCGCAACCAAGGTACATGCCCTTGACCGGAATCAAACCTGGGACCCTTCAGTCCGCAGGCTGACGTTCTATCCACTGAGCCAAACTGGTTAGGGCAGTGGGGTTTTTTTTGACAAAACTAATTCATAGGAGGTGTTTTGTGATTTCATTAGAAGGCAAATAATGTCTGTCATTCTCTGTGCGACATAAATGGCCATAGCTGTTCAATACTTAGATCCCTGAATTCATGGGGGGTTGCAAGATGAAAATCATTGAATTTGATCGTTCTCTCTGTACTATTAGCTGGAATACTTCTCTGAAGAGAAAATTCCCACCTCACCAATTTCACTCGTCTGAAGTACAAACTGTAAAGGAAGGGCAGGATAAATGCTTCATTCTTGCCTTTTATTTACTAGTCTTCAAACTAATGAGTTGGTTCTCTAGCACCCACCAATGGGGACAACTCAAGTGTTTTTTTGTTGTTGTTGTTTTCTAAATATATATTTTTATTGAATACAGAGGAAGGGAGAGAGAG